CAAACATATTGTAACTTATGGAGATTTTTTCCAAAGAGAACGTTTTTATCATGTATCGATTTACGTACTGTAAAATGTAATCGAATAAATTATTTTGTATTCAATTTCCATCGGATTTTACAACAATGCTTAACAATGCTAAACATTATCGCACGCTGATGTTGTGACTCCACAAATTTAAAACGAATCTTTTAATTTTTGGAGTTCTTTTCGATGTTTCTCCAAAATTGTTCCATTTTTTTTCTTTACATAAGCAAAGCTTAGTGGTGCTACGGCAATGACAAATGCTCTCAGAGCGTAAGTTCAAATTCCAGTCCGGGAAATTGTTCTGTCTCTCCCCCCCCTCTCTTTAATTTATCGCTAGGGAGTATAGGAAAAGTTATGTAATGTCACGCGGAAAAACGCCAAATTAATTCCAGAAAAACTCTCATTTCAGGGACCTGGTAATGAAAAAGTAGATAAATTTAGTTGCTAAATTTAGAAAAAAATCTTTATCACGTGGTATAGCCAGAATCCGTGTTTTGTAGGTATTTGATACCGAAAACTCGAATGACGGCAAAACGTCCGCCCGCCTGCCCGTCAATGAAAAATGGTAACGGCTAAACCCTGCCGTTTTCCCATCGATTTTCTCCAAAATTAATATTCCTCAATCGATCCCACTGATGTCTCGGCCTCTTGAATTTGAAACCGATATTTTAATTTTTGGGGGGTACTTTACATGAAATCTCTGGGACATTTTCAATTTAAAAAAAGGCTCCATCGTTTTTGATTAAATTTTGTTCTTTGGTGATATGAAGAACATTCAAGAAAATGGTACATTTCTCATATTCGTTAAAATAGATTTTGAAATAAGTTCATGTATAATTTCTCGAAAATGTGTTTTTCGCGTATTTTTGTGTGAATATACGATTTTGGCAGCACTTATTTGTTCTTAGAGTTGGAATCAGGGTGCAGACTCAACTAGTATATTATTCTACGTTTCAAGCAATATTTTTCAGGTCAGCTACGTCCTCTTGTAGTATCACTTGTTAGAAATAATTTACATTGTAATGAAAATGTTAGCAGACATTACTATTATTTAGTTATCAGATTCGATTTAGATGTCATAATATAAATTTGGCAGAATGTAATATACTAAAGAAGTTTTATTTCGTTAATCGTATTTGTGGGGATTTTATTAGTTCTATTAGAAATAAGACGCCTATGAATCTATTTCTATTTCAATGTATACTTTTACTATCATCATAATTATTGATATTATATTTATTATTATCGTTATATTTTCAGTAAAACATTGTAGGTAATATCAGAGTGACGAATCTTTATTTAACGCTGACTCGCATCTGAATACAATTATCAAATTCAATTATATTTTTCACACTTCATAGAGATTCTGTGTTATTGACGATCTTCGTGAAATTAAGTTTGTTTTTCTGCTGTTTTCAATGCAGTTTCGATTACTCAGTGCATCATATATTGTCATGTTCCCCCACTGTTCTTGAAATGTTTCCCTTGAGATTCAGAATTAACCATATCTCTTTTACCATCTTCCTGGAATGTAAATAGTCTATGAAATATTGACATTACACGAAATACTCATACTTTATATATGAAATAAGACAATTTTCGGTTTATGGCGAGAATGTTTTTGACTTTAGTTGATTTAATGTATCTTTAAAGTATAAAACAGTGTATAAGTCGGCAACCCGTATCTTGGAAAGGATAAGTGGTATTTGTCCTGTTGTACAACTTCAAATAGATTCTACGAGTTTTGGAGTATCGACAAATGTCGTAGTGTAAGAAATTGTCACAGAAGCGCAATATTCTTGGGTTATTCAAAATACAATTATATTTGGTAAACAAGTATAATTTTTCTGAGCAGCTAGAAAGAAAAACAAAACAACGTAAGAAAATATGTAGGTAGTGTACAAAATTATATTATAATTTAGACATTAATTCATTAACATAGGTACGTGGGAAACATTAAAATTTCACCAGAAGTAATTACATGTACGAGTTTTGAAACTGAGCACAAAAATTCGTCCTTTCATAAACCCAGGCAATATAATAATACTGAGTGTTTTGCTTATTTTTCAACTTATCGGTGACCAATCTATCCATAATGATATATTTGATTAAAAATACTAAATGCATTCTTTAAATAAAACTTAAATGAGACTAATGATGTAATAGATACGACTTCCATCAACGGCCTGTGCTTTACCACTTTCTCTGAATACGAGATTTCGTACGATAATTCGCACGACCCTACCGTACACACCAAAAACATGTTGTTGATAAACACGCCTATCGAAGCATCGCGAAAGCCGTGGATAAGTCCAGCTAATAACACGCAACGACGGAAGCCCCTTCAAATCAGCCGCAGCCCTGTTTATTGGCGTCGCAGCGTGTGGCGGTGTGGGTGGGCGGCTGTTGGGCGTCGGTGGGGTGGTGACATGACGGCGGAGGGGGCGGGGGATGGGTCGGTGGCGGAGGGTGGTTGAGGGC